GTCACAAAAGTAGATCATATAACCACGGGACGCTGCAACTGTCATAAATATGAACCAGTTATCAAGCATCTAAATGTAAATCACGTGACTGTGAGGATGCTGCAACAGTCAGAAGTGTGAAAAACAGGCATGTCACTTTTTTCAGTGCTGTTGTAACTTTGAATGGTTATTAAATGAAAGATGATAAATTAAGGACTGCCTGTACAAGAAATTAAGTCAGATAGTAAAGAGAATTCTCAGCCATTGTTTTCCTCAGTTTTCCTAGACCAGGGGTAGGCAACCATGGCTCTTTTATGACTCGTGGACTTCAACTCCCAGAATCCCTGAGCCAGCCATGCTGAGGGGAAAGGGAGAGGTTTCCAAGCTGAGCCATGGTGGCTCAGAATTCTGGGAGTTGAAGTCCATGAGTCATAAAAGAGCCAAGGTTGCCTACCCCTGTTCTAGACCTAGACTAAGGTACCACATTTGAAATAAAGGGAGATTTTTGTGAGTGCAATGCTCAGCATGGTTGTGTTGGAGTGGGACTGCTGACTGTTGCTAAATACCCCAAACCCCAATACTACAAATCTAATAGTTCTGTTCCATAATACACACCCCCAAAGGGCACCTTAATATCAAGAAAAGATTTATTGAATGCTTGAGTTTGCCCAGTGTGCTTCCTTCCCTTAGTTATTGCATTAACTTATGTTTTTATTTGCACAAATCATTGAAATGGAAAAAAAACAAAGTGGGTTGAGCATACATAGCACTCTAAGCCAGAAGCCTACTTCCCACAACCATGGTTAGTATGTTTTACAATTGCCGGTGCTGGGACTCTACTAGTTCTACTTGTCCTGCTAACCCAGGGTTAGGCAACTTTGGCTCTTTTATGACTCGTGGACATCAACTCCCAGAATTCCTGAGCCAGCCATGCTGAGGGGAAAGGGAGAGGTTTCCATGCTGAGCCGTGCTGGCTCAGGAATTCTGGGAGCTGAAGTCCATGAGTCATAAAAGAACCAAGGTTGCCTACCCCTGTGCTAACCCAACTGATATTAGTATCACAAGGCTTTGGCTTCATCCCATGTTTTCCTCCTTAGCTTGGTTTCCATGTCACTTCCATTTCACCTCATTATTTCCAAGTGCTTAGTGCTGAATATAGGCATAAAAATTAGGCCTCCATTTATCTTAAGTCAATGGTAATTGGATGCCTGGAAGAACACAGCACATGATTCTAATACATTTGGATATAAACTGCTTTTTTTTTAAAAAAAAATGCCTAAATGAAGAGCTGTAAGTCGTTTCTGCATCCCTGGTTCCCTTCCCAAGCACTGGAAAGATTTAAATTTTGAACTTTTTTGGACTGAGCGCATTTCATGTTTCTGCTATCCTGGATCATCTGGAGGCTGCAGGGAGACATCTAATCTTAAATGGGAAGAATGACACAGTGATGATTTTTCTCACACAAAAGACCCTGAGATACGTTGCAGTATGTCAATCCTACTTTTACCTGGTTTTTCAGCCTTGGCAATCTTGGCATGCTGGCTGGGGAATTCTGGGAGTTGAAGTCCATACAACTTAAATTGACAGTTGAAAAACACTGTTTTTGCACTAAAGGGATGTCATTTAGTTCTGCTACACTCAAGTGTACATAAAGCATAGTTGTTATATGATGTCCAGTTAAGTCCATGTAGTTCCTTAGCTTCTTTAAAAAGAGGCCATACTAAATTTCTTAGAAACATTCTCCAAACTTCTTGCTGTGTCTCAAATGGAGTTCTTCCACTGTAGGCCAGCCTGAGTTAAATCAAGACCAATATTTGATTATATTTTTACACACTGGGGCAAAATATGATTTGTCTGTATAGGGTCCTTACTGGTAGTTTTGATTCATCCTGGCCTAAAGCAATAGATTAAAAAAAATGGAACTCTTTGGGCTTTCCTTAACTCTCTGCACTTAGTCAAATGTGTGCAACAATGGATTTAATGACTTAGGATGTTAATATTTAGTTAGATCTGGGTCTCTTCCAAGGATCTATTTCAGATTAGCTCCTTCTTTAACCAAATTAGAATCCTTAAATGTAGAAGGGCATTTAAGTTCCCTGGTACAATTGAAAGTCTGTCCTAAGTGGTCTTAGGTGAATACAAGGGCATCTCTTTTAAATTAAAAGTTTGCCCATGCACCAAAGGAGTCTTTGAAGCCATGAAATATGTCTTCTTATATTACCTATTTTTTGCTAGTACACATTCAGGTTGACAACCCCACATCTCAGCAATTTTCCCAGTCATTCTGACTGGTTGTATTCACATTTTTGTTTTACTTTCAAGTCCATGTAATTCTGTTATGTAATTAGGTTAAGTGTGGCTAAGTTTAGTTATGTCATATATGAAAGCTGGCTGACTGATACATTTAGTTAATTTTATGATTTGTGCTGACCCGTATGCATTCCCTCTGAAATTGACTGAAACTGAATCAATTCATCATCTTGGCTAGGGATCTGAAGCCCTGGGTGGCCCACATAGTATAAATCGGATGCACATATGTAGAGAATGAGAGTCTGAGCAAGATGCTGGTGTTAATCTGTCTTGTGGAATGTATTTGTGGATTTATAGTTTCTCAGAAAAAAAGATGACCCTGGAGAACTATTTCCACAAGTGGTTAAAAAGAGGGCACCAACCAATCCAAGCATTTGGAAGGGTTTCCGTTTTAGGCATTGTACTATTGAGGGAACAACTTAATTAAGGAACCAGATTTGAATTTTTTTTTTAAATTTACTTACTTACCTATTTATTTATTCTATCTATCTATCTATCTATCTATCTATCTATCTATCTATCTATCTATCTATCTATCTATCTATTTTCCAGTCCGAAAAAAGAGAAAATATAATATTTAGAATTAGTGTAATAATCTAAACAAAGAAAACTGAGTGACTATATAAGGAATATAGAAACTGTATAAGAAATATAAGGCTAATGTGGAGAATTGGGAGAACTGTGGATTCTTTGGAAGGATCCAGTTGGGTTGTGAAAGAGGGAAAAAATGGGTTATGTTATATTTTTCCAACTTGGCACCATCCAAATTTTATCGTGCTCATCATCCTCACCAATACCCATGTTGGCTGTCTGTGATGACAATGTCAATCATCTGAAGGGGCCCAGTGGGACTGCCAGTAGATTGGTCCTTGCTGGTGTGAAGAATAACACTTGGCCTTCCCTAGCTTGATATCCTCCAGATGTGTTCGGATCAGTTTTAATACAACTCTCCCCAACTGGGGAGAATCACCTGCTCATCATTCATATTTTGATTTTTTTTTTTATTCCATCTCTTCCCTCTTGCCATTCCTTTCCCACCCAGCTGAATTCACCCACTTATGCTCCCTTCCCCTCTGACTACTTGACCCTGGGGCCTGAACCTGTTCCCCCCCAGCCTGACAGCAACGCTACTCGCTCTGCCCGGCGGCCAGCAAGGCCCCACACGCTCAAGGTACCTCAAGGAGGGTAGTGGGGGTGGATGGAGATGAGGGCTGTCTGTTTATATAATATATGCAGTCTTGCTTTAGGGGGCATGCTGGCTGTGGAATCTATAGCGCTGGATTAAATTCACAACCGCATTCACATTTTGGTGGGTGGGGGTGACATGAATATGCAAGAATGGATGTGTTTCAGCTTACAGACAGACACTGAAAAACTTTTTTGTTCTTAGGGAAGTTGCCCTGATTGAGTGGGGTGAATAAGCCATGATAAAAGAAGCGATGCAGCTATGCTTCAAACTTCAAATTAACTTTGAACCCTTGTGCTGTCGTGGTTTGAGGCTTCTATGAAATGTTCTGTGAATAATACTGCATATGCCTACAGCAGATATTCACTCATCCAAACTCGCTTTTGATTCTCGTGCTTTGGGCTACAGTCATAAAAAGTTTCTAGATGAAAACGGAGCTGTTGTCGGGTTTCAGGGGTTTCTAAGACGTTCAGCATTACATTGTGAGAGAAGAATCTTATTGATTTATGGAATTTTTTTTTACTGTGCCTTGCATCTTTGTGACTGGGCTCACAGATACCAGGATATGTTTGTGTAATATGGTATATTAAACCTGCATTAACTGGTCCATAGAGTAAAGTAAGGCAGGGAACTCAGTTGTGAAGCCAGGAGCTGTAGAGGTGTTGGTAATGGTAACATGGTCACTCAGATTGCAGGGTGCACAACTGTTCTGCCCCTTGGGGAAGATTTCAGGGGCATTTGGCCCTAAAGCACCCGTTTTACCCCTTAAGCCCATAGCTGTTGAAAAATGGTGGGAGAATTGTTGGCGCTGCACATTCTTGGAATGTTCTTGAGGGACAAGGTGGATCTCATGTGGTTTGTGGGTTGTGAATGACTCAAACCTATGTTTAAGACTAGCGTCCCTAAACTTGGCACCTTTAAGACTTGTGGGGGTCAACTCCCAGAATTCCCCAGCTGGCCATGCTTGGAGATCCCTAGTATGAGATCACCTGCTTGATTGGCTAGGGAATTCTGGGAGTTGAAGTCCACAAATCTTAAAGGTCCAAGTCTGGGGATCCCTGGCTTAAGTCATGAACCACACTTAACAGATGCCAATGGTTGCATTTGGACGAAGAACCAAAGTGTCCTTATGGGACCGTGACAGGAAGTGAGCAGGAGGAGGAAGGAAGAAAAAAGCCACAGGATTCAACATCCCTCTTAGTTTTTCTCTCTTCTTCCCATCTGCAGCTCCCGTTGCCCCCAGCCTCCCACTCGGACTGTTCCCCTGTCGTGGTGGGATTGCCATTCCCTTCGCCCAGAGGGACTCCCAAGCTGCCACCCCCCACAATCCTCAGCACGGTGCCCCACCAGATGTTCAGTGACGCAGGGGAGGGAAGCGGCGAAGACCCCCTGGATGGTGACGACGAGCTGGTCATCGACATCCCTGAGTGATCGTGGCAAAGCAGGCGGGTCATTTGAAAGGACACAGGCCTCTTGGTTGTGTGTGAGGGAGATGGTGCCCCTCCATTTTATTTTGTTTTATTTCTTTGTTTACAGACTCGGGGGAGGGGGAAACATGCAAAACAGTTAATAAAAGGGATTTTGTTTTTGTATTAAAAGCATCCAGTTGCGATTTCTACACTCTTATGTTCCTTTTCCTCTCCTGAAATCCTTGGTCTACTGTTTGGTGAGATGTTTCCTGACCCTGTTGTGTAACATGCCATCATTTACACACTGGTAAAGAAAAATCTGCTTGAAATAATTAACATCTATTGACGAGGTAGAGCAAATCTCTCTTTTGCTGCAAAAGAAAAGAAAAGATTCTAAAAAAAAAATAAGTGCTTCAAATCTACAGGTGGGTCCTCGACTTACAACCATTCCTTTAGTGACCGTTCAAAAGTTACAATGGCATTGAAAAAAACGACTTACAATTGGTCCTTGAGCTTAAAACCATCACAATGCCCCCAGAGTCATGTGATTAGAATTTGTAACTTTCCTGGTTGGCTTCCAACAAGCAATAGGGAAGCCAGATTCGCTTAACAACTGTGTGATTCGCTTAATGACCGTGGGGATTTTCTTAACACCTGCAGCAAAAAAGGTAAAATTAGGCACAACTTGCCTAACTACTTCACTTAGTGACAGATGTTCCAGGCCGAATTGTTGTAAGTTGCGGACTACCCATAGTCCAGGTTGGAAGAGAGAGAGAGAGAGCAATAACTAGGAGTTTTTCTACTGCACATGTAAACGTTTGACATCTATCACTGCTTCTCACCCAAATTAAGTGCAGTTTAATCTTCCAAATGTTTGCAACTGTTTTTAGCTGAGCTGAAAACATCCCCTCTTTTGTAACTGCATTTTTCGGTTATTTTAGCAGATGGTTTCTCCAAAAGCTGTGCTCGCTGCAGTGCTTCATTGTTTTTGCTACAGATTTATTTTTTTTTTTTTTTAGTGCTGGTAGGAATACAGTAAGAAAGAGTCCTATAGTAAAAATTGTAAAGATAAAAGAAGAATCCTTTTATCAGTCTGAAAGAAGAGAATATTTTTCAGGCATGGGTGAATCAGCTTTAAGAGAAAAGAAAGAGCTCATTTTACTTGGCTGTGAAATAATTGTGTATAAACACTGATGGAAGACACTACCTCTCTTTCAGCGTTGATTCACCTCTTACAAAGCAAACAGATTTGTCACTTGAGTACTGCTTGTCTCTTGGTGAACAGCTATGCTGCTCAGAGAGGAAGTGAGTGGTTTTAATTGAGGGGGTCCAAGATATTTTTGGTCCCTCTGGAAGAAAATTCAAATGGTAATTCTCCCCCACCCTCCCGCTCACATAGTGATTAAAATAAGAATAAGGTAGATGGAAATTTCTGCATTTAACATTAATTTCCGCTTGGTTGTCTGTTCAGGCTAAAAGGAAGGCAAAATCTACTCTGTACATGTGTCAGGCCCTTCACACTTGCTAGCTTTAACAAACCCCTTCCCCAATCCAGGTTAGGACTGGCCCAAGTCTGTTCTGTAAACATATGATGGCCAACCTAGCCATGTTTACATTCTAAATTAGGAACATCTAAAAAGGCACAATTACAAGCAATTCCAGAGAGAGAAAAGTGGCAGATATTGAGAAAACCATGTGGCTGCACAGCAAATGACATTGGAAAAGTTGCTGAACATTTTAGGAATAAAGGGGGAATTATAGAAAAGCTCTAAGAAGAACGTTATATAGTCCAGAAATGTAAGTGAATCGTGGAGATTGCATTAGGAGAAGGAGAAAGAAATAATGGGCTTGCCACTTGATTGGTTAAAAAATACCTGCCCAATCCTTGTTTATCTGAAGCAAAGTTACAGAAAACTTTGCTTTAAGTAACACAAGTCCTACTCAAGATTGATACAGAGGATGAGAACATTTCTAGCTTAATTCTGTGGGCTAGATGAATTGCCCATTAAGGTGTTCTCTGAACTGCTTTGCAAAACCACAGGGTGTAATTGTGGTGTCAGGACAGGAGATGCATAGAAAGAAAATGGGGGGGAAATGACCAGTTTGCTGGAACAATATCAGGAACACAGTAAAACATAATAAAAGAGGCTCTAGGCCTCCTGAGAAGCATGTCAAATATGACTGGTTCATACTCATCTTAATTATTTTTCCCAGTTTACTACTTTAATGGCACTTGGGAATTCTGTGATTGGTCCCCTATTGTGTTTAGATTGGCAAACGTATTCAGCGTGTGTGAGCTCCCACTGTTCGGTGCATTCAAGGCTGGGAAACTTCAAAAATCTCCTGTAAAGCACAGACATGAGATATGATGCTGCCGATTCTAACCATGTTTATTAATGGCAATGACAAAAATGATAAAATTCTTAATAAACTTGCAAGTCTTATAAAACTGGAAAAGATAGTTAACTCTCCTGAATGATAGGATTAAAACTCAGTGGAAAAATGCTCTGAAACTACGAAAATGAAATTCAAAGAGACTAATGCAAATTATTTGCTATAAAACAAAAATGAAAAAAAAAAGGATTTATAGGAAGGAGATTCATGGTACAAATAAAAGTGAGAAGTATCTGTAATGGTGCACCAGTTAAGCCTGAGGTAGCACTTTAAAGGGGGTGCAAGAAAAGGCCATATGAATTTCAAATATGTTGGTAGACTTATATTTCCCCCCAAATTGCTCTCCTTTATTCTGCATTCATCCATGTCCTATTCTAAAGCTCTATCTTTACCCTCCTTTCAGATTTGACATTTTGGTTTCCCTCTCCCCATCTCTCAGCTTGCCCAGAATCTTTTCAGATTCGAATATTTTGTAAATTGAAGGAAAAAGCAGAGCACTGAACTTAAAGCAAATAAAGAGGACAATGTTCGTTTCTTTGACCCTCTTTTAGAAATAATAGGATGAAAGGGATGAAAGAGGATTGCTTTACACAGAAATCAAAAGGATGCATAGCATGAACCAATATGCATCTGAAGACAGCGACTTAATTAGAAGAACTGAGCCATATGGAAAATCAATGCGGATGCCCCCCCTTTTTTATGGTGCAGAAATACTACAGTAACTGCTTCTGATATTTCTAAGGTAAGAGGAACAGGAGCCCATGTGGAAAATAAGAAAAAAAATAATATTGGGGACTTTTAAAATGAAATTACTTCATCCTTTTGACTGGTTTGTTGCTTTTGAAAAATTAAAAAAATATGTTTTGCAGCCAGCAATGAGTTGTACAAAAGTAGAAGCGTTTCACAACCACTCTTAGGTTACAAGATGAGAAAGAAGAGCGGGGGGGGGGAGGGAGAGAAAGACAGGAAGGAAAGAGGGATTCGTTTTTTGACTTCACCCATCTGATGCTCGCTTGGGACATGTAGCAATTCCAATGCCTCCTGCTCTTCTCGGCTCTCCAGCTCTTCTGCATCTGCCCCGAATCCCCCACGCATGGCCTTCTGTCTACAGTAAGTGCCTCCCTAGAGCATAGCATAAATGGTCCCCCACGACAAGTAGTTTTGAAACGTGCAAACGTTCTCGTGCAAAAGAGGGGCCTCTGGGTGCTGGGCCCCTCCAGTTGGTTTTTGGCAGGCAGGCAAAATAGAAGGGTGCAGTTCTGTGGGGATCACGGGGGCCTCAAGGGCCAAAGGTGGAGGATTCTGGGAGCTCGTTGGTGAGGGTGTGCCAATGTTCCAGGCGGCAGTCGGAGGTCTGGAGGCATGAGAGCCAGTGTTGCCGGCACTCCCCACTGGCCCCTAATCCCAGGGTCACCCCACCTGCAACGAGACAAGAAGTACTTGCAGTTTCCAAGCTGCTGGCTGTGGAGCTGACCTTTTCCTAGTCCTGTCATCGGGCAGAATCTCCCACCCCTTGCAATAAGATGTTTGTATACAATGGAGGAGGCTATGAAGTTTGTAAATCTCACCCTCAAATTCTCTTGAGATGTTCTGGATATTCTTTTTTTTAAAAAAATTGTGCGTCTGCAAATGCACTCTCTAGTCAACTATTGGCTCTCCAGCTATTGGTAGGAAACATCCAGTAGAAAAGAATATTTAGTTGCTCAAGGTGGAATTGTGGAGTTCTTGGTGACCCAGCAGCTTGGTTATTTGCTTGCAGATGTGTCATTACCCAGCTAAGTAACATCATCAGATGATATTTTACCCAACTAGATAACATCAGGTGAAATCAGATGAGGTTACCTAGTTGGGTAATGAACTGTCTGCAAGCAAGCAGTCAAGCTTAGAGAGTGTCAAGAATCTCCATTGTAAGACATCCTTTCTGTGACATTCTCCTATCTTACTACTAATGTAACTGTTATGACTTCCCCTTCAGCATCTTGAGAAGAATGCTGGGAACTTTCTGAATGGGCAAGATGCCTGGCTATCGTTGTAGACCAATAAAGAAGACTATTTGTAGCTCAGGGGGGTCCTTGGTGCTCTCTAAACTTGGTTATTTTTTTGCAGACGTTTCACTGCCCAAACTAGGTAATGTCACCAGTGCTACCCATCATCAACATCATCAGGCAACATTGCTGATATTAGCTACTTTGTGTAATGAAACTTCTGCAAGAAAACAACCCAGCTCAAGAGAGCACCAAGGATCCCTCATATCCTTGTAGAATTAAGCCCCAGGAGTTCAATCCAGATTAACACACCTAGCATCTCCTAAGACCTAGGCTAAACAACCCTTCCCTGAAACTAGGTGATCTTCTTCCATTTTCTCACCAATGAAGTCATTTGATTTCCCAATATCGTAATCCCAAACGGTGATTTCCAAGGATTTATGACCAAGATCTGATTGTTCAATCTCATAGAAAAAATCCTGCAATGGGGCAGATAAGTATTAAAAGTTAGGAATATACAGGATCACACACACACACCCCTCACTCCCCCAATCATGTAATGCCTTCCTTGGCTCTCCTTCATTTACCTCATTGTACTCCGGGTTTAGTGTTTTCTTTTTCACAGTTGTTTTATGCTTCGATTTTTTCTCTTCATCTGGCTTCAGGTAGCTGCCAGAAGAGAGAAGAAGAGGGAATGGGAGAATGGGAGATTAAGCCTGTACATAAAGACAGTTGTCCTCCTTCTCAGGAAAACAACCAGCCTGTGCAAGTGCTAAAGCACCACCATAAAAACTCAACAAGAAGTCATAAATCCAAAGCACTGAGAGAAAATGTGAAATGACTACAGCAAATGGGACATCTTCCGAACATTAATTCCAGGGTTATTAAAGCGAGTCTCTAAAAGCTTTGCTAAATGGGAACATTATACATGGTCTTTTGATCGACTGGAGGCCAAAGAAAAGAGCCTCTCTTGAGCCTAAGGCTTTCACGTCCCTAGTAGACACGGGAGGGGCTAAATTACATCTTTTCCTTCCCTCCCCAAAACTCTAGACTTCTCCCCACTCCCCCAACCATCCTTAAGTATGGTTGATCTTAACCAAGGATTAGAACCCCTCTCTTCCCTTTGTATGTGTGCATTTCTCACGTTTTTACATAAGGGTCCGAGTAGCCGCATACATCCATAGCAGCTAAGTGGGCGCAGCGGAGAATAGACACCAGTAATCCATGACGTTCGGAGATGTATGTGAGGGCGAGCAGGATGCGACCCCTTTCTTCCAGGGCCCAGCCACCTGGGGGTTCCAACTATGCAGTGGGGGAAAGGAAAGGCTATTGAATGCTTTTGTGTCAAATGCCCACCCTCCGGCCTTCCCAAACAAACTTTTGCAACTGGGTTCATGCATCTTTTTCTTTTTTTTTGAACCATGCCTTGCTGAATAAGCCAATCATGGCCTAGCTTTGCATAAAGTGCTAGGCCATGATTGAGCCATGGTTTATGAAGCACCACAACTGAGTACACAAACCAAGTAAAGCATTGTATGTATTACTGCAGGGGTCCCGCAGACACCATGACCTCCAAGGCGAGCAGAATGGTAAAACATAAACTCTATCCATAATTACATTTAATTTGTTATGTTTCATTTCATTTTAAAAATAATAATTTTGGCGGTGTCTACTATTTAAAAAAGTTGATGACCCTGGGCTTAGCTGGTTGTGTGAACTAGGCCTCAGTTTGGCCTTGGACATTTTGAGACCCAGGTGAAACGTTTAGAAGGCCTTGCATTCAGCCTTGGGCTTTTGAATTCCTTGAGCCCAGGGCAGCCTTCCCCATCTTAGCGTCTTCCAGCTGCTCTGAACCACATGCCAGGATGATGTATGGTTAAGGTCTTGGACTAAGAGCAGGGAGACCCAGATTCCACCACAGCTATAGAAGCTCAGTGGGTGACCCCAAGGTATCCCAAAGGTTTATTGGAGGGGAGGAGGGAACTGGACAAGGGCATTCTGCATTCATCCCTTGAACTCCTGAATGAAAATAGGTGGGAGGTACATCTAAGGAATATTCCAGCCAGCAGAGTCAACAGTGATGCTAGCTGGGAACTGTAGTTCCCCCACAGCTGGAAGGCATCAGATTTGGAAAACTGGACCTGGGATGTTATCTCAACTGGGCTTTCTTTTGCCAATTCCTGCTACAAAGACAGTCTCTTCCTGCCCTCTCGCTAGCCTATTGCCTTGTCAGGGACAGCCAGCTCCAGCCCTCAACCTAACTTTATGTTGGGGGAGGGCCTGCTAGGGAAGGGGGTGGAGAGGGGAAGTTGGGGGAGGGCCAGTCACATTGGGTACTTGGGTGTTTGGAGAGCCTAGGAGGAATTCTTGGGCAAATGACAAGCTCAGGTGGCTTGCATGGATGAGTTGTTGCTTTGCAAGTTGGCAAGGGAAGGGGAAGAAATAGAGAGGGTGGCTCTGTTTGGGGTCTGGTCCAGCCCTGTTACTCAGCAGGTAGGTTCCCGCAATGGGGCAGCAGTCCTTGGCAGGGAGGAGGTGGTCCATCCCCAACCTAACCTGCTGAGGACTTTCAGGTGCCGTCTTTGGGGCGGGAGTAGGATGGGAGAAAAACTCTCACCTCTCTCAGATAGCAGGAGATTCCACGCAGGGCAGCAGTCATGGAAGAAGGGGATGCCAGCTGTTGTGATAGGAGAGAATTTAGCGAACTTTTAAACAAGGGCCCCAGCAAAGTCAAGGAGTGTAAAGGCCCCACGGAGGAGTGAGGGAGAAGAGGACAAATTGGTGAAGAAATCTAATATTAGAACCAATGTATATTTTGCATAAGTGGCTCTTGGTGATGCTGGAAAAAATAACCTTTATTAATTTGCCTCTAATCTGAATTCTGTGAGTGGCACTGAGTCTACGATGCAGATTTCCCTGCTCTGACATGGAATGATGTTTTGCAGGACAATACATCTGGCTGTGATAGGGAACTGTATATGTTCTTGGGTTACTTGCCAATTTTCCCTTAGCCATTGGCAAGGGCTGAGGAGATATGTCCCCCAAAGAGAAAGATCCCAATTTATCATCTCTCTCACCCAATAGTTTTTGACTTTGGGGACCAGGCACAGCTCTTCATTTATGGAATAAATTGGCTCATAGATTGCTATGTGGAAGCTTCTTCTTGTCTTTGCGTTGTTCTACTAGGAATATTCGGTCATTCCAAAGGATGAAAAGGTAGAAATAGTGAAATGCAGGTAAAAATAGGAGACTTGGGTTTGGGGGTGGGTGGCTAGGGGGCAGGGGGAAATCTCACAAAGTTTTAGAGAAAGGCAGGACTCTTAAGAGAGAGGACAGCAGACAGCCAAAGTGACCAGCAAAGAAGTAACTAAAGATGTCTCTGAATGTCTAAGTCTTACTATAAATCAAATGCAGATAATCAACGAGTCATCGCAGGTTATACAACCTTCTTTGACTTAGCTCTCACCGGTTGTTGCCGTTCTAAGCACAGGTTGAAGTGTCTCTTTTGGCCAGGGCGCAGGCGTCTCAGTGGCACCCGAGTCTCTCCGATGAATTCATTGTGGGTCAGTTTATCCTCATCACAGACAGTGATTCTGGGAGGCAGAAACAGAAAGGAAGAATGGAGAATTGTGTTGAGGGAAGAGAGCGCGGGAGGGGCTGTGGCATGAGTTGTGAAGCAAAGGGCGGGTTTTATCTCACCGCAACGTTTTCCGAGCCATGTCCTCTGCAGTTATCCCATTGTAGATGAGGACCTCGTTCCACACAGGATTGAGAGTGTTGTGCTGAGTGCGTGTCTTCAGTTTGTTGGCCTGAACAGAAAAAGGATTTGAAAGGGAAGAACAGAACAGTAGAGAAGTGCTACACAATAATAACTGAGCCCCAAATTTCTGTTGCTAAGTGAGACAATTGTTAAGTGAAGTTTGTCACAGTTTATGACCTTTCTTGTCACAGTTGTTAAGTGAATCACTGCATTTGTTAAGTTAGTAACATGATTGTTAAGTGAATCTGGCTTCCCTATTGAATTTCCTTGTCAGAAGATTGCAAAAGGGGATCACATGAACCCAGGACACTGCAATCATCATAAATATCAATCAGTTGCCAAGCATCTGAATTTTAATCACACAACTATGGGGATGCTGCAACAGTCATAAGTGTAAAAAACTTTTTTCAGTGCCATTGTATCGTTGAATGGTCACTAAATGAGTGATTGTAAGTTGAGGACTATCTGTACAGCAAAGCCTGCAGCTGAATCTGTTCCCTGCTCTGAGGACTGGGAAACAGCGTCATAAGATACAAATCGATTTGTAATGCTTTTCCTTCTTTATCCTGCTAACCGCTAAGATACAGATAGTCCTCAACTTACAACTGTAATGGAGCCGGCCTATTGCAGCCGTTAAGTCGTGACAAAAATGTGACTGACCCAATTTTATGAACTTTTTTGTGGTGGTCACATAAGTGAATGTGGCAGTCATAAAATGGCTGCTATAGTTAAGCAAACACTGCAGTTTTTAAGCAAACCAATAGTTCACTATGGGCACAGTTTTTCCCAAAACAGAAGTGCTGTTTTTTAGCAAAACCATCACAAAATGCAGTCACATGATCATATGATGCTGCAAACGGCTGTAAGTGCAGCTGTATTGCTGAGCTCCCTCATGTTATGTCATCCGTTCAGAAATATTTCCTTACCAGATTCCTTACCAGATTGTTGACTGGCAGAGCTCCTAATGTATTAGAAAAGTTACTAAACATTCAGGGAGAAATTCAGAAATATATCTGCCTTGAAGGTAGCTCGTGTTAAGGAGGGTACTTTTTTTTCCATGTGGTAAACATGTGACAAGGCAAAGAAATATTAGGTACAGATCCATGGTTTAATTTAGAATATTTTAAAAACTGACTTACAGTGGAAACCGGAACTTTTTCTTTTAGAACTATTAAATAAAGAAATGGGGAAAAAATGGAACTTTGTTGCTATACATGTTGATGGCTGCAAGAATTTTATATGCCCAGAAATGGAAAGAAGTGTTAACTCCCTCAATAGAGGAATGGATTCAAAAGATGATGGAACAGGGAGGGATGGCAAAGTTGACTGTGCTAATGTAAATAGTTTTGTGGTTACTTGGAAACCGTTTCTGGACTTTCTGTGTGAAAGAGGAAAAAATATTTTTGACTTTGGGTTTTGACAATTAAGTGGATTATTAGTAGAGAAATGGCTAGAAGTTATTATTTGGTATAGCTAAAAAGTTGCTATCATAACTTATTATGTATCTTATTGTACCAAAAAAAAGTCAGAAGTCACTGCTTTTTGTTTCTTTTTTCATTTCTTTTCCCCCTTCCTCACTCTACTCCTCTGTCCCTTTCCTTTCCCCCTTTCACATTGTCTTTAGGTAAAGATTTGCCTGTCCAGTTGTGTCTGACTCTAGGGTGCAGTGCTCACCTCCGTTTCCTAGCCAAGGGAGTCAGTGTTGTCCAAAGACGCTTCCGTGGTCCTGGGGCCAGCATGACTATACACCAAGGCACACGGAACGCAATTACCTTCCCACCAAAGTGGTACCTATTAACCTACTCGCACTTGTATGCTTTCAAACTGCTAGACGTACAGGGGCTGGGGAAAGGAAGCTCACCCCATTGTATTTTATACTGAGATTTTTTTAAAAAAAAATAAAAATATACTTTAAAAAAAGAAAACTCAGGTAGAACTTTATAGCACAAACATCGGCACAGGAAAGGTTTTATGACCTTTTTTATTATGTAATAAAATGCCTTATGATAATTTTGATGTCGTAAAATGTTTTATAAGATTTGCCAATTCCACAAGAGTCATGGGTCCCGGATTTGGATGCATTTTGTAAGTTAGCCCATTTGAGATACCTTGGTTCAACAATTGTTCCTCCTCTAAGATGCACCATTTCATCCAGTGAAAGGCTACGAGAATCAGAGTTTTAGTAGCATATAGATAAATAGAAGGACTCTGGTTTAGCGTGTTAGGTAAATCTAGCCTAATGTTCCTTGTTCACCTGTGGTTCTGAATGATCTGAATCCTGTTACTGGAGATCCGAGCATATGTAGGATCCATTGTTTTCATTCAAATGACCAAAGTAGCTTTGCACAGTTGTAATGTGAACTCTGCACCTTTCATGCAAGTAGGCCACATCACAACTTCTGTTAAGAAGAGACTCTTATGCTACATTTGTTATTTTCTTTTCTTGCTCCCCCTATACACGTGCTAATGTCAGGTGCATAGATTCCAGTTAATTTATTGCTGATTTATTGCTCAGGCTATACACAAGAATCTGGTCAAGTAATGGTCAGCACTAAATTGGTGTCAGTTAAGAGTCAATGGAATTCATGGGGGGGGGGTGGACTTGCAGCATTTGTGGACATATAACGATTCTGGGCTGAGTTCTCTCTTGACTCTGCCCCCAGGCTCTGCCTCTTGTTCTCATAGAGCTAGTAGGGATTCATACCTTCTGAATCTCTTTCTCTTCCCCAATCAGTTATCTGTTGCCCCTTCTGCCCTTGGCATAGGTAAAACAGCTGCACCCAGATGTGTGGTAGGAACTCCTGAGAAGAGACTCTAGTTTTGACTGTGAAATGGATGTGGATTGATTTTGGTTTTGATTTTATAGAAAAGTGTTGATTTCATTTGGCTAACCAGAGGCAGAAAAGTACACTCAAGATGTCTATCCCAAAGCTATTGTTACACTCACGGAGGGAAGAAGACCATCTCTTCTTTTTTCCTCAGCTTGGCTAATAATTGTTTCAAGATAAATGGGTGGATTTAGACTTGGAAAGCAACACAGGCTTATAGCACCTGCTCCTCCCAGCTGCTTCCTACCATCAGGCGTGCACCGCTATTTTTTGAGCGTACATAAATATTCATAAATATTAATTTGGAAGATTTGGTCACATATTCCCTTGTCACATCTTTTTTGGCCCTGAGATAATATAATTTCGGCAATCAGGTTTCTTATTCCAAACATCCAGTTACAGCTGGCTTAAAAGCCTCTTATTATCTAATAAGTTATGCAAAATTTGCGTGCGCTAAAGTTCAGCATCGGAGGGAATTCCTGGTAGGATGCTGTGGAGAAGATGCAGGGGATAAGCTTTTTCTTCACAAGGAGATGGTCCTCAGTGATCTCCTCACTCACAGTTCAGGGATAGTTTGGAGAAAAGACATTTTTCATAATCTATGAGTGACGTTACTGTTATTCTTGGCAGCAATTAAATTAATAGGCCTGTCCGAAAATTAATTCCTTTATAAATTATTTCAAACAATACAATATGATGACAGCATTAATATGAAATACTATACAGGTAGTTCCTGACTTACAACAGTTCATTTAGTGACCGTTCAGAGTTTCAACGACACCGAAAAAAGTGACTTATGACCATTTTTCACACTTATGACCATTGCAGCATCCCCATTGGTCACATTATCAAAATTCAGACGCTTGTCAACTGTAATCCCCTTTTGTGACCTTCTGACAAGCAAAGACAATGGGAAAGCCAGATTTATTTAATAACCATATTACTAACTTAACAATTGCAGTGATTCACTTAACAACTCTGGCAAGAAAAGCCATAAAATGGGACAAAGCTCTCTTAGCTACAGAAATTTTGAGTTTAATTGTGGTCGTAAGTCAAGAATTACCTGTACACTCAGGAATAAGATGACAAATGAGTTTTACTTATCCATGGATGGGGCATCCTTTGAGTCTACTTTTTTACAGCATTTTTACCTTTTTACATATACTTTTTAAAAGTATCTGCATCTCCTGTATTTATAGTACAGGATAAACGTATGCATATATCCTGTATATAGGGTCATTTTTCTTGAGATGGGAGTTATATGAATTTGATTAATAAATGTATTTCTTAATGTTGACACTTCGTATTTTTAAATGCTTGTTTTTATCTACATATTGTTTTTACTTAATAATTGTACACTGCCCAGGATCAAGTTTTGTGAGATGGGCAGCTATATGAATTTGAGAAATAAATAAATATGCTCACAGATAAGCCCATCCACAGATAAGATGACCCTTGAAATTTTAATCAAAATATCATGAAATGGATAATTTGTGGATTATCTATGGATAAGCCAATTGTGAAAATTAATACATATAAACATTTTGAGCATCACTTTATGCACAGGTGGTGCATTTTTCATGGTTAAAAATTCAAGGATCGGCTTATCTGTGGATAGGCTTACCGACAAGTAAACATGGCAAATTTTATTTCTCATTCAAAATGTTTAATGTGCAAGATAAACTTTATCCTCACCAGCTTTCATGCCACATATGCACACACACACAACTGGTAGATGGCTGCACCTATTACACTTTAATTGATTTTGAAAACTTAAGCAAGATGAGTTCAGGTCAGATGGGAAACAGTGAGACAATCTCAAAGGTTTAGGAGGATCTACAGGGAGGAGTCAAAAATTCAAGATGGCAGCCACTGCCTTGCAATTGAAGTTCTGCCTTTTTAAAATGTCTGTGACATATCTAAAGAAGGGATGGTTATTTCAATTGCATCGTTTTTGCTGCCATTTTGTCTTTTTCTGCCCCTCCGGCTGAGGTTTAAACTGTCTAAGTCAAAATCCTAGCAACTGAGAAGACTTTCACGAAGTCTATTTTAATTGGATTTATTGAAAAGGAAAGGGAATTAGATTACAGCAGTGTTTCTTAGCCTTAACAACTTGAAAAGGTATGGACTTCAGCTCCAGAATTCTTCAGTCAGCAAAGCCATACTTCATCAAATTGTGAAGATTGAGAAACATTGGATTGCAGAAGTCTGGATCACTGGAGACTTTCTCTTCAGTTCCCATTTAATTCCTAAGTGCCCTAAATCAGAATCTTCTTAATTCTCTTTCCTAGAGCTGTATGATGGACAGAGGAGGCAGGTGCTTTTTTGGACAGCAGGAAGAATGGGCAAATTCTGAGTAATTTTGAGAGATTTATTTATTTCTATTATGCCTTCATTATTTTTATAAATGACTCAAGGAGGTGAGCATACCTAATACTCCTTCCTGTTCCTATATTCCCCAGAACAACCTTGTGAGATTAGCTGGGCCGAGACAGCTCAAAGTTACCCAGCCAGCTAGCCTGGTGCTAGCTGGCTTTCATGCTTAAGGCAGGACTAAAAACTAAACCTGATGATTGATCCAAAGTCAGCCAGGCAGCTTTCATGCTTAAGGTAGGACTAGAACTCACAGAATCCTCATGATTGACCCAAAGTCACCCAGCTGGCTTCATGTCTCAGGTGGAACTAGAACTCATTGTCCCCAGGTTTCTAGCCTGGTGCCTTCCCCACTAGACCAAACCATTGTCCACACTTTCATGTTCCAAGAGGCCAGCAGCATCTGGGAAGTTGGACAAGCAACCCAAGAGAAGGACAAGGCTGCTTCCCTATTGCTCCCCCCCAAAAAACTAATATGTAATACACATGTAAAGAGTCAAGCTTGTATTGAAGGAGACTTGATATTATATACTCACATAAACTTTTGTGGCTATGTGGGACCAGAATTAAGACACAATAACAGGGATGTAAATTTGAGACTATGCTTACCAAAGGTATCCAAAAAAGAGTAAAAAAAAATCAAAATGTCATGCTGGATATGAATGGGCGTCAGGGCTTCAATCACACGCTTGTAGCCACCATCTTGACTTTTATGGGCCCCTTCCAACAGACCCCCTAGTGCTTACCTTACAAGCACCTGGAAGGAGATGTAGTTTGACATAAGGGTCAGCCAAGCCATTAAAATCCATTGGCTTTAGTCCCTGAAAAAAAAAACCAGCATTAATTCCATTCTATTTATACTTATTTATTCTTTTTATATCTCCACATATTCAGAAGCCTGTAGAAAGTTCTCTACCCCTCTCAAAATTACAAAATTCCCACTCAAAAGTAGACATAAGTGTGCCCACTCCACTTTATGGGTGTGATACTCTGGGCTAATTTCAATTCAAGCTACAAATCTGATCAGCAGTGAAGCCAGCTTGATCCTTTCCTCGAAATGACTTGCTGATTAAAGGGGAGGGTGGCAGGATTTATTTATTAAAATCCTTCCACAAGAGATTGGCTCAGATTTCTGGTAAAGGATATCTTTGTTTTTTTCTCCACAGGGAGTCTTTTTTGGAGAAAGACAATCTGCAATTTAGAAGGGAGAAGAAAAGAAAAAAGAAAGGAAAAAAAAGATCGAGAAAGAAAAAAAGGAACAGTGTGTGTGTGTGTGTGTGTGTGTGTGTGTGTGTGTGTGTGTGAGAGAGAGAGAGAGAGAGAGAGAGAAGTTGGTGTCTGCATGTAGCAGGGCCTGATGGTCAACCTACTACAGATAGGTCTTGACTTACAACCATTCGTTTAGCTACTGTTGAAGTTACAACAGCACTGGGAAAAGTGATAATCAATCCTAACACTTACGGCCACCACAGCATTCCCCACAGCTAAGGGGTTAAAATTCAGGTGCTTGGCACCCAGCACATATTTACTACAATTGCAGTGCCAGGGGTCACAACACTCACTATTTGTGACCTTCCAACAAGCAAAGCCAATGGGGGAAGCTGGATTCATTTAACGACTAGGAATCAGGGGTAGGCAACCTTGGCTCTTTTATGATTCGTGGACTTCAACTCCCAGAATTCCTGAGCCAGCATGGCTCAGCTTGGAAACCTCTCCCTTTCCCCTCAGCATGGCTGGCTCAGGAATTCTGGGAGTTGAAGTCCACGAGTCATAAAAGAGCCAAGATTGCCTACCCCTGGACTAGGTGATTCACTTAACACATGCAGCAATTCTCTTAACAAGTGTGGCAAAAAAGGTTGTAAAATGAGGTGCGACTCACTTAACGACTGCCTTGCTTAGCAATGGAAATTTTGGTCCCAACTGTGGTCGTAAGTTGGGGACCACCGGTACATTCTTCAGCTCTGCCTTGGAGGAGGAGGAGGGTCTTTCATAGGCAAAAGCAAAACTGCATAATCCGTTAGAGCAGTGGTTCTCAACCTGTGGGTCGGGACCCCATTTGGGGTCGAATGACCATTTCACGGGGGTCACCAAACCATGCTGTCCGCCATTTTTTTCCCTTTTCCCTAGCTCTCCTACTCCCTCTTATTGGTGGCCACACCCATTTGGGGGTCACCACAACATGGGGAACTGTATTATGGGGTCACGGCATTAGAAAGGTTGAGAATCACTGTGTTAAGAGTCTGAATTATTAAGACTCCCACCCTGGAATAGGTCTGGGGGTTAGAACATAGAATCATAGGTTGAAAGGGACCTCAGAGGTCTTCTAATCTAACCTCCTGCTCTAAGCAGGAGACCTTATACCAGGGGTAGGCAACCTTGGCTCTTTTACTGAATCATGGACTTCAACTCCCAGAATTCCTGAGCCAGCTGAGGGGAAAAGGAGAGTTTCCAAGCTGAGCCATGCTGGCTCGGGAATTCTGGGAGTTGAAGTCATAAAAGAGCCAAGGTTGCCTACCCCTGCCTTATACCATCCTGGTCAAATGGTTGCCCATTCTCTTCTTGAAAACCTCCAGTGATGGAGCATCCACAACCTCTGGAGGTAAGCCGTTCCACTGAATAATTGTTCTCACTGTCAGGAAATTTCTATGTTGGATCTCTCTTTAAAAAGTTTCCAAACATTGCTTCTTGTCTTGCCTTCTGGTGCTTTGGAGACTAAGTTGACCCTCTCTTCTCTGTGACAGTCCCTTGAATACTGGAAGACCATTATCATATCCTTCCTAATCCTTCTCTTTGTTAGACAAGACATACCTAGTTCCCTTAACTTTCCTTGTACCGTTTTTAGCCTCCAAACCCTTTATCTTCTTTGTTGCTCTTCTCTGCACTTTTTCTAGGTTCTCAACATTTTTTTGGTATCATGGTGACCAGAGCTGTACATAGTATTCCAAGTATGGCCTCATGAGCATGGTATAAATCCACTCCTCCACATTCGTAAAATAGTTTCACTCCACATACTGACCAGTGGCACTTTCCAGGTGTTTCCTGATTGCAATCAATTCTCCATCCAGCAATGAATTTGTTGGATTATTACAGAATTACAAATTCTGAGATATCTGCCCTAAGGAACAGTGCACTAGGTAGGATAGTTGGATTATCACTGCAGGTGTGGGGAATTCATCTCTAAATCGCAGTTGAACTTTTTGAAACCCCTTTTCAGAAGCCTTAATTTACCTTCCTGGCTAGGAAGGCGATCTTTATGCCACTTCAAATCCCAGAACTATCGGGGTCATGCATTTTAATCCTGTTCAGAGTCACTGCGGAAATTCCAGCTAAATTGCCTTTGTTGGTGAATGGCCACAGGGAAAACGATAGATTAGTCAGAAAAATATTTTTAAAACTGCACTCATGTAAACATATCCTCTAAATAGTTTGCACACAATCTCCAGAGGGCGACACCAAGGAAACAGAAACTTGCCAGTTGGGAATAAGGGTCATCTACTCTTTTCGAAGTGGCAGGCTCTGGGTTAGTTTTGCTGTGGTTCTGAACTGCCGCAGTATTTCCCATACTTCCCCCCCGCCCTCTTTTGTTGCCACAGCAACGCCAGATGCCTGCGGATACCCGGTTGCCTGGCGCGTCGCCGCCCGAGATGCTTGAAGATGCTGCAAGCCCACCAGCTGGGAAGGAAGAAAGGGAGGAGGGGGTTTTATGTATTGCTGATGTGTGAGTTGAGGATCAGGGTTGTAGAAAAGCAGCCAGGTGAAGACCCCAGAGGTTTGGTTTGACACTTAAAGGCCACTTGCCTGACTTCTAAAGGCTTTGTAGATGGGGTAGAGAGAAAGGGCTGAGTGTGGCAGGAGAAAAGAGAGGCTGAAATGAACATTGCTAGCTCCATAATGAGATTTTCCACCCTGGTGTGGCCTCTTTTATTAAATCAAGGCCGTTTATTGTGAAAACGCAACATGTGATGCAGAAAAGCTGAATCTAAAGGCATGGAGAGTGCTAGAAAAGCAAAACAGTGTCTTTTTAGCAGCCTTCCACAGCCTACTGTGCTCCAAGTAAGTTGAGTAGCTGTTCTCATAATCCCTTATCGCCAGCCCAGGCTGTGTCTCCTTTAGCAAAAAATTACAGTTGTCCAAACCCCACCAATTTGGAGAAGCTGCTTCGGAAGAAGTTTTTGAGGCCCAGTAAGGGAACACGATTACCTTGGCTCGTAGGATGGTGCAGTCAAGGGTGCAGCTTTCTGGATCATAGAGAATATCAAATTCAAGAGTCCCAAGTGATGCTAGAAAAAGGCCGGGCAGTAAGGAAAACAAATGTTAAAAAGAGATCCATTTTATCAATGTTTTCCTTCAAGATGTCTTCCCAATCCCACTCACAATCTGCAAATTCAATGCCATCCATCTGTCCAGACCAGTGTTTCTCAACCTTGGCAACTTTAAGACATGTGGACTTCAATTCCCAGAATTCCCCAGCCATTCATGATCCAGATTAACCTTCTCCAGCTAACCTTGCTTCAGATGAACTGACTAAAAATCTCATCAGGCTTGGCCAGCATAGCCCTCTCTGAATTGATTTATATCGCTGTATCCATACATTTGTATACAATTGAACGAAGATTGACTGTGAGTTCAAATAATACCAGAAGGTGTTCTTATCTTGTTGGCTGGCCAATATTGTCAAAATGATCCCCTACCCTAAATTCTGCACACCTCTATGTAAATGTTCTCTGTCTGTGAGTTATGCATAGGAGTGCACACTTTCATTTTGAATATCTCAAGTGCCCCCCTTCCCTTTCCCTCTGATAATCTAATTTAGGCACCAGGAAAACTGAATGTGATGTCCTGAATTAATTGCACAAATAAAGTAGACGTGTCTGAAGATGCATAATAATTGAGCTTCTGTTTCTCATGGAACAAAGCAAAGAAACATGGCACGTTTCTGAATCAGCCATCACTAGACACATAGAAATAAAACATATTTACACACCATTCAAAAGAGAGGAAGGAAACAAAAAGACCAGAATACATCTTCTCCAGCAGCCAACACCAGATAAGCAAGAATTAACACCAGGCAAACAATCAAGCAAAAAACAATACCCTAACTAAGGAACTACTCAGGAGAAAACTATACCCCCCCCCCGCCACCAAAACTTGCAGGGCAAGCTACTGTGTATAAAAAGGGTGGAAACCCCATACTCTCTTGCACTGAGGATGTTACCTAGTTGGATAATGAAACATATGCAAACAAACAAGCTCAGAGAGGACCAAGGACTCCACAAAGGTAAGTCTATTTTCTTTATCACTGCCTCTTTTTTCTTCAAATTAGGATACTATGTCTTCTTTCTGGGACAGTTGCCCAGTTATTAATTATTCAGGACCCTCAGGGGTGTCTGCAAGGAATGCTAAAAAACAATCAAGATGGTGGCTGTGACAGTGCAATTCAAGCTTTTTTTGTTTTTTAAATGTGACACACCTAAAAACCAGGCAGAGCTATGATCACATCATTGCTTTTGCCATCTTGACTTTTTGATCATACCTCGGGGACCCACTATTTACTTCTCCTTCTGTTTTTTTCTAAGCCTGGAGAACGTTGGCCTTCGTGAATTAGAACCTTTTCCCCATCTCTCTCTGTCTTTATAAAAGCATTTATACATTCGGGTGAGCAAATAAATCCATCCAATCAACCAACCCAGCCATCTCTAGAAGTCCCATCTTTTAAAGCTAGAAGCCTTAATCTGAACCATATAGGATCTATTTGTAGTTCCTCAGTGGCAAGAACAAAGCATTCTCTCCTTTATGTGTTCCAAGATGTTGTGATTGATCTATAAATTGTATGGATCAATAGTCTGCCACAGTAAAAAGGTTTCTTGGCCTGGGTTGTGGACTGTGTTTTGCCAATTTTGGCAGGAAATTCACTTCCACTTGCTTAGCCTCTGGCCTATCGTTGTTGCCCCATTTCACAAATAGGCTTGTTCACTGTGCTAAGTCATAATTCTTTCTGGCTTGGCTGTGTTGTGTAAGCATAGCCACTATGTTCTGTTTATGGCACTTAACAGCTCAGCAGGTAGTATGCACCCTACCAATTGAGCTTTCTTCAATAAACCATGGTTTAGTTATTGATACAAAGGATCTAGTTAGTCCTGACTCAGTAAAATTCAACCAGAAGAGAAGAAAGAGGATGGGCTTCCTCTCCTCACTCATCAATTCTAGGCACTTCTTGCTAGGTGTGTGCTAGTGGTCATCGGTTAGGCTCCCTTTTGATGCCTGAGAAAAGCTAGATCCCAGAGCGCATGGCGAGCATGCACAAACTGCTGATGAATGATGCATGGAGATCAAGAGCAAAAAACGTGATGTATTCTTCCTTCCCCCCCCCACTCATTCCTGGCCTTCAGATGGTCTGCATAATTTTAAAGCCCAAATGAAAAGGGCTTATATGTCCCTACACATGTTTGATCAGACTGTACCTCTTTGTATTGGGATACATTTATTTGTAAGGGTTTCTGGATGGGTTTATGTTTTGATGCATGCCTCTGTCTGGTAACAGGGAGGTCTATCTTTCTCTCTTGTGATCTATTCATCTACAGTATCCACTTCTATGCTAGCTTCCTTTTTTTCCTTCCCTCACTCTGTACCTACCATTCATTAAACCTCCCTCCTGTCATTTCCTTCTTTCCTCCCTCCCTCCCGTCTTATGGGAGTCAGTGTCTGTATGTGTGTGTGTGTACAGGCACCTGTTGGAGAGCATATAAATGTAATGTCTTTTTTATGCTGGGTTGTGTTAATAGTAGAGGTGTGGTGAGGTTGTTTTTATTAGAGAAGATGCCTGAGTGAACATTTGCATGCGTGGGTTGTCCCCCCAGAAAGTATATGGGACCTCAATAATTCTTCTGATGCAGATTCAAGGGGAAAAACTGACATCTTGAGTTTTTAGTGCCACGGCACTCATTTTTGAGGATGGCTGATACCGTAGTTCATGTAACTCTCTGCACATGAATAGTAGGCATGTGCTTGTGCTGACACAAATCTGCTTGAGGCTTTGAATTTGGTAAAGCCTGTGCATATTTATTTGTCTCAGCACAAGAACAAGTGCAAAAAAGCGAGAACAGAGCATGTTTCCAAAATATTTGGTTTTCTAATAGCTATCTATTGTTTCTCCTAGTCCTAAAAACAAATGTGCGCGGGAACAAATTCTTTCCTTCATCTATTTCTCTCACATTAGAATGCCAGCTGCAGCAGGTCATTCCATCCTACTGTAAGAAGAACAGTGTGCACCTGGAAGCTACAGTTACCAGATCCAGGTTGCAGGGATTCAGAGGACCACTTAGAGGTCAGCAGAGAGTTTTCTGTATCGTTTTACTGCCATCTAGTGGTTAGGCAGATTTTTGCAACCCAGATTTGCTAGTTGCATTCTTGTTCAGAATCTGTTTTCCAGGTTTTTGGAAAATTCACAGGCAGCCCAAGTAGCCTTTCCCCATGTTTGCCCCCCAGCAGCAAATGATAACCCCATGAAGCCTTGGGTTCCCCTCTGCTGTTTTGACTACTCAAGCCAATTCCAAATTCCACAGTTGGATTTAACAAAGGAATATCTTTCAAAGTGCCAACTATACTGGTCTGGGCTTGAGTGACTGGGATTCTCGGGTGTGTATCATTGTCTAGTTCCTGTATTGAGAAAGTTGTGATGCAAAATTTTCATTTCCTTTGGAAGGAGACGAGGAGGCATTGGCACACCCTAAGATTTAGCACTCTAAGCCAATGCCTACTCAATTTTAGCCTAAAGTTAACTCTGCTTTGATGGGTAGCAGGGTTGGATAATAAGTTCATGGTACCTTGTGATTTAATGTAATGAGGAGGTGGTTCCCCAGGAGGGAGGAGGTGCATTCCAGAGGAGTAAGAGGCAACTCAGCCCAGAGGTCAAGTGTGAGAGAAAGAGGGTGAAGACAGCCCCTCCTTAATGTTTCACAGAATGTCCTGTAGATGCAGATAGTAGAATCCTCAGTCTAGCAAGATTTTGTCTATAGAGGTGAAACAATAAAGAACTCGGCTTGAAAGGATTGCTGTGTCATTCTTGATTTTGAGCCTGACAAGCTAGAGTGTTTAATCATAGTAGATTATAAGTACTGAAACAAATATTGGAGAACCTGGCCTGATAGAACACAAGAATTGCTTCTGAGAAAGATAAGCATGAATTTGTGTACATGTCTGTTTCAAATTTTGTGTCCAAAAAGAGCCCGGAATGTTGAGATAAGTTGTTTTCATGTGTCCTTCCAGATGTGAACCCAGTTACCAGAGTCAATTAAATCTTGCCTGATACTAAATAGCTTGATTTGGAAAAAAATCATATTATAAAAATATTATATATATTATATATATATATTTATAAAAACTTCTAGGTAGGTTTGCAATTTTCCTCATTGCGATTATGCTTTAGAGAAGAGAAATTACCAAATCATGTTCTGCAGACCTTTTATCTTTTACTATGGATTAGTGTCCATGTATTATTTTATTGTGCACTGAGTGCGGCTATTTACAATTAAGTATGACTGCCTCGGGGCAAAGATAGGATTCTGTTTTTTAGTTCTTGCCTGCATTCACTCAGCCTAAAACCTCAGGAGATTCACTAGACTTTATTTCCAGATCAGTGTGCAAATGGTAGGAGAGAGGAGATGTCGGAATGGAAAGGACATTTTGTAGCATGTATGACAAAGAATGAGCAAGATCTAGAACAACATGATGGTTACACGTTAAATGTCACAATGGTAGACCTGCCTGTTCACAAAATTCTCCCCAGAACATTGGCTATAAATGTGACAAGGGCTCACACAAACACCACTTTTAAGTGAACGGTATATGTGGATGAATGTTTTGAAGGAAGTGGAACTGAGGAATGTACCTCTCTAAAAGATCAGAATCTTACATTGGGCAGGTGTATGTGAGTGATGGTGGATTTAGATAAAGTATTCCAGGTAAGATTGAGAAACAAAGAAGGAAGGGGAAACGATGGAAATGATGGTTGGAGAGGAGCAAGGAAATACAGAATATAGAATAACAACATTGGAAGGAACCTTGGAGGTCTTCTAATCCAATCCGCTAGTCAAGCAGGATATTTTATAACCAAGGGTCTTCAAGCATGGCTGGCTGGGGAATTCTGCGAGTTAAGTCCACAAGTCTTAAAGTTGCTAAGTTTGGAGACCCCACCCTATACCATTCTAGACAAATAGCTGTCCAATCTCCTCTTAACAACCTCCAGTGAATACTCCTCAAAGAGATATGAGTTACTGTTAGGGACAAGCTGAGAAGATGAACATTTTTTTTATCTGTGACAGGAATTAATGCCGAGTCAGTGGCATCTAATCAATCAGCGAAGATTCAATTGTCCATATTTTTGAGAACTGTTTTGTAAGACAGATTTGTTTATGACAAACGTATTGTTTGGATAACATAGCAATTGAGATAGTATGAATGTCAGTGTCGATATAAGTTGACATTAAAGTGGAGGATGAGGCTCTGGATGGCCATTCACAAAACTTTAATATGCCTTTGTAGATGTGTGAAAAAAAAATCTAACTATGAGTGAGTAGATGGTCGTATGAGAGGCAGATCTGCTGGTTCTATTCACACAACATTCTTTGACTTGTTTCAATTATTGAACAAACTATAGTGACTTAGATCATACATCTTGCCAAGTCATAAACCACAGCTGACAAACCACAATGGTTGTGTTCACATTAATTGAACAGACCATTAGTGAGTTAGTTCACACATTCTGCTAATTCGAAATCAAACAAAGTTATAGTATGATACATAGAACAATGTACAAATCCAACCACCAGCTGTCAAGCATCTATACGCTCTATCTTAAAATTAATATTACTAATATTAATATTATTACTAATAATAATAGAGTTGGAAAGGTCCTTGGAGGTCTTCTAGTCCAACTCACTACTGAAGCAGGAAACCCTATGCCATTTCAGACAAATGACTGTCCAGTCTCTTTTTTAAAAATTGCAGTGTTGGAGCATTCACAACTTCTGGAGGCAGGTTGTTCCACTGGTTAATTGTTCTGTCAGGAAATTTTTCCTTAGTTCTAGGTTGGTTCTCTCCTTGATTAGTTTCCATCCATTGCTTCTTGTCCTGCCTTCAAGCGCTTTGGAGAATAGCTTGACTTCCTCTTCTTTGTGGCAGCCCCTGAGATACTGGAACACTGCTATCATGTCCCCCCTCGCCCTTCTCTTCATTAAACTAGACATACCCAATTCCAGCAACCATTCCTTATATGTTTTAGCCTCCAGTCCCCTAATCATCTTTGTTGCTCTTCTCTGCACTCTTTCTAGAGTCTCAACATCTTTTTTACATCGTGGTGACAAAACTGTATGCAGTATATGAAGAGAAGAAGTTGATATGTGAAGTGACAGTCAATGTAAAAGAATCTTTATGGAATGTGCTATGCAGCCAGCTGTTTTTTCTTGTATTAAAAGATAGTTTGATCAAAGCTCATGTTTTCTCTACAGACACAGACACGGGGAATTATACTTACTGTTTTCATCAGAATCATATCCTTCAGTAGATTCTCCTTCCCCAGTTCCTGCGGGTACAGTTGTTCCTTCACTTCTCATCCTATCTTGTGTTGTCAGCACCCCTTCCAGCCCAGGATGCGGAAAATAAGCTGAGATTTGGGCAATGGGTCGTATCGGTCCTGGGGACACATCGATGGCCATGTGCTCTCGGATAGGAACTGATGCACGATCTCCACGGCGGACAGTCATTGGAGGAACGGTCAACTGTGCTGAAAGGGGAGAAAAATTCACTCATTAATTTTCATCTTTTATTTTTATTTTCAGTGGTACTACATTGGTATGCAAAGCTGCCTTAGGCAAATTTGCTGGAATAAAACCGATTGGGCTCGATTCTCAAGGAAATACATCTCTAGATATGTTCTTAATAGGTGGCATCCAGCTTCTCCGGAAACGGGAAACTTTAAAATGCAGCCTAATGTTTTGGTTACTATATGTAAACTTTTGAAAATTCGCCCATATGGTGACAAGGAAGTTGAAACCATCTCTCTCTTTCTCTCTCTCTCTCTCTCCCTCTCCCTCTTCTATCTATCAATCATCTACCACTTTTTAAAGCTGCCTATCTCCCTCATAGAGCCCTTATTATGTTATAAATTTTATAGAGACATCAGGTCAATCTACCTTGTGCTCCTAATTTGTAAATTCCTTGCAAGGTCAGATAAATTTTACATGAACCTTCTCCTTCAAGATTTAAAACCATTCATTACATGGGCAGTAGCTAAATTTTGTGCTGCTGCAATGAAAGCAAGATAAAATTAGTTAAAGACATAATTACCTTTGGTTTAAGTAATATTTTGGGTTTGATACATCTTAGCTGATATTTATTTATTTATATCCTGCCTTTATTATTTTTACAAATAACTCAAGGTGGCAAACGTATCTAACACACCTTCTTCCTCCTATTTCCCCCACAACAACAATAACAACAACAACAACCCTGTGAAGTGGGTTGGGCTGAGAGAATGACTGGCCCAGAATCACCCAGCTGGCTTTCATGACTAAGGCGGGACTAGAACTCCCCACCTCCTGGTGATTGGCCCAAGGACAGCCAGTTGGCTTTCACGCCAAAGGCGGTATTAGAACTCTCCATCTCCTGGTGATTGGTCCACAGTCATTTAGCTGGCTTTCAGGGCTAAGGTAGGACTTGAACTCATGATTTCCCACTTTCTAGCTTGGTGCCTTAACCACTAGACCAAACTGGCACTCCTAATTCAAGGTGGCAAACATGTCCAACATAGCTTCTTCCTCTTATTTTCCCTATAACAACGATCCTGTGAGGTGGATTGGGCTCAGAGGGACCGGCCCCAAAGTTGCCCAGTTGGCTTTCATGGCTGAGGAAGAACTCATGGTCTCCCACTTTCTAATCTAGAGTCTTAACCACTAAATCAAACTGGCTGGTTGTTTGATGAATTGTTAGGGGATATATAGTTTTTATTTTTATTTTATACCTATTGATGTTTTAGATTTATCATCTGGGTAACAACTGTATTAATATACAGAGGAGTGAATGTTATACTATCTGATTTACTTTGCCGCTTGTTAGCATATTCTTGTATTCATTTGCTTTGCACTGTTTTTGTACTTTTAAATTTTGCTTGTCATTGACCAAATAAATATTATTGATTAGTTCTCCCTCTAAACTATAATGATTGGCAGGTCAAATTTGCTACTTTGCAGGGAGGCAAAAGGCAAAGCAAACATTTCTTTGTTGTCAGAAGAATTGAGAAATTCAATCAGGCATTATTTTTAAAAGAAACCAAAAAAATTCCTTTGTGTGAACAAGTGTTTCTGTTTGTGATGGTGAACTACAATTTGTATTAGGTAAGAAATATCTATTACTGTTTGTGTCACAGGAAAAATAAGCAATGTTTAAGCTTTGACTGAACATTTTATTATTTTCTTTATAAGGTATCTCAAGTAGGTTTCAGGAAAAAAAAACTCTGGTAGAAAAAAAATGATATTTTCTAAGTAAGAAATGCACTTCTCTTAATCACGGGCTAAGACAGGGTTTATGTTACGGGCTAAGACAGGGTTTCTCAAACTTAGCTGCTTTCAGATGTATGGACTTCAACTCCCAGAATTCCCCAGCCAGTCTTGGTACATTATATAAAGTTTGAATGATGACTGAGAATTGATATAGTAGAATTGTGGGCTTCCTAAAGACCTGTCCAGCCTTCACTGCAATGTTTTTAAGCATGCTTGTGTTTGTTCATTTGCTTGTTTTATTTTTTGACGTTTTAGAATTCCTCTCAGCCTACTAACAGATTACATTTAGTCCTTAGTAATTTACTTTAGCTGAAGTCCTCTCACTAACTCATCAATTAAATTTACTACCAAAGAAGAAGTCTATCGTTCACCCCGAAAGTATGTTATCTCCACAACATTGCTGTATTCCTATATAAAATCACTATTACATTCTGTATCAGTCAATTCTATCAATTAATTAGATGTTACAAGTCACATTAAAAAAGAAGCTTCATTTTTCTATTCTGAATGATGATTTCAGGAAAATAAGATGTTTTCATTTTTTCTATTGCAAATGTAAATCTAAAATCTACAGACCTTTGTCTATAGGAAAAAGCTAATACATCAATGCATGCAGGAAATGTTACATAAAAAATTGAATAAACAAGGAGACTATCCTAGTGATTTTATCTCAACTTATCTTTTTATGTTTTACATAACTTTACCTCACCCATATGCCTTTTCTTGTAAGGAAGGGACCCTTACTTTTTTTCTGAACCAAACTCCATAGTTTTACATAGATTTATTTCTCCCCATCCTAGTTTCTCATGATCCACTCTGTGAACCTCACTTCCCAAAATTTGAGCTGGGGACCCTTTTTTGGCTATTCCCAAATTTACTAAAACTTTCCCTGTTTGGATGAATGAAACAAATGGTTTTATAAAGAGATTTCCTTTTGATCTCTTTCTCCTAACAGAAAACATTTCAACAGATATTGTTGCTGAAATACCGTTAATACTGTCAAACCCATCTTTTCAAAACCATGGTTCCCATTTTCTGGTGGCAAGCAGGTTAAAAGTTAGGATGTTGGTGCAGTGAACAAAACTGACGACAATTTTTTTTTATTATTATTCTAAACATCCGAACTGTACTGTTGGAAATAGCCTGATGCGCTATAAGACTGCAGTGGTCTACCCATTTTATAGGAATCAAGTTCCACTGAATTCACTGAGCTAACGTTTATTTCTGAGTAGACAGATCTGTATTTAAATAAAAATAAGGGGAAAAAAGGGCAAAACAGACATGAAATCAAAGGTTACCAGATCAATGCAACCTGAGAAATGGAATGTTAGTCAACAAAATTTCAAACTCCAATTAGAGCATGTTTTGCAGCACTGGCCTCTCTCTCTTCCCTCCACCCCAATTTTTAGCAATAGTGAGATGATTATAAGTGAATTAGGAATTTCTCTCTGTTGGACACTTAATGACATTTTGATACAGCAGAATATTTTGAAATTAGTACTAGTCAGAAGCTAATTTTACATGAATTTGTTTTCTTAAACAGTAGACACAGGATAAATTTGCTGAACTGAATTGTCTTTTTTTTTTTTTTTTTTTTGTAAAGAGGGAGGGGGAGAGGGAGCGAGGTCTGCATAAAAGTATTTTCTTGAACCAACCTTGCCTCGGTCCACCAGTTCTCAATCAGTTTCGTACCTTTCCAGAATTGCTCTCCGCATCTATTCCCATCTCCGGAATCAATTTAGCCATCTCCGATTCTTAACACCTTTGTCTACGCCCCAACTTTTTCCCCTGAATATCCCACCTCTGTGCAACTGATGTCCCTCCATTTTCCAGATTACACCATAAATGCCTCTTATTCTTTGAAGAAGCACATTTGAGTTGCTTTCTACCCTGATATCCGCCGATCTTCAATCCCCCTCACCCTCACATTCCAGCCATTGCCCCCAAACTCCCCTGTCGGCCCCATAACAGTCTCTCCCAACTTGCCTCAGCCTTTCCCCCCCCTCCCCATCTCCCGAATATCACCTGCTGAACAACTCTGCCAAGTCTCTGCCTTCTTGGAAACTCTGCCAGATTGTGACCCCACATTTTTGTCTCTCCCCAAGTTGCACCCCGCAACTATCTTCACACACCCCACAACCCTCCTCCAACGGCTGCACACTCACCCCCTCCTTCTCCCACTCAGTCCCACGGGACTCCCCCCTTCTCTTCCTCCAGCCCCCCCCCCCCGCTCCATCTTACCTGGGTGCAGATCCCGTCAACAGGTTCCAGTGAGGAGAAGGCGATGCAAGGAATGAGCGGAGGGGATCGATGGGGATCCCACGGACTGAGAGAGAGAGAGAGAGAGAGAGAGAGAGAGGGAGAGAGAGCGCAAGGGAAGGGGGGGTTGCAGTCGAGAGGTGGAGACTATTGTTTCTATTGAGAATGGGAGGGGGACGGTGCAGAGATCTGATATGGAATACATAGATTAGATTAGAGGATAAAAGGCGGAACTATTAGACTTTGTGTGTGTACTCAGCCGTAGCAAAAAAGAAAAGAAAAAAGAAAAGAGAGAGAGAAAGAGAGAAGTAATCAGAGGCTAGCATGGGTAAATCAACTACCAAGATCGAGGCGAGATAAACTAGGTGTGTGTGCGCGTGTGTGCTTTGGGGGAATAATGATAAAAATTGTTTTCTCTTCTGCAGTTTTAATTGGACGAAGAGAGTTATATATTTTAAGCTTTGTTCATTCTTTTTCCTAAAGAGAGCAGGAGAAAGATAAGAGTATAAAGAACGATGAATTATTAAATACTTCTGCCATATCCCTTGGGCTTAAGGTGGGTGCATTTCCTTAATACAAAAAAAAAAAAAGTAAGAAGCTACACACAAAACATGGTTGAAGGCATATCCATAATAATACAGGGCAGAATAAAGGAATAGAATAGAATAGAATAGAATAGAATAATATAACAATATAACAATATAATATAACAATATAATATAACAATAGTTGTATTATAGTATAACAATATAATATAACAATTGTTATATTATGAAATTACATAATATAACAATTGTATTATACAGATTATATAATGTGATATTGTTAATAAGGAGGTTTTGAAAAGAGAAAAAAGAGACTGGAACGTGTTATAAGTGAGGTGAGGAGAAGGGGAAAGGGGGGGAGGGAGTATTTCAGAGTGGTCTACAGAGGAAACAAGTGTGTGTGGAAATGTGCAGATGCTAGAATGAATGAATATATATGTCTATATATATGTATATATGTCTCTCTCTATACACACACACACACATATTATACATATATATATACATATGCATACATACATTCATATATATGTGTGTGTATATATATATATATATATACACACACACACATATACATACATTCATACACACACATATTATACATATATATACATATGCATACATACATTCATATATATGTGTGTGTATGTATGCATATGTATATATATATATATGTATAATATACATATATACACACACATATACATACATTCATACACACACACACACACACACACACACACACACACACACACACACAGAGATATCCAGAGAAGAGTTAAGGGAGGACAGAGAAGGAGGAGGACTTGGGCAGAAATTGATCAAAAGTAAATCACTTGGTTTCTTGCAAAAGGAAATAATTGTTTCTACTTCTGCTGGAATGCAAGTTTATCTAGAAATATTACTTTCTTCCTGTTTCTGATGTGTTTGGCAATCTGAAGTTAATCAGGATTTTTTAAAGAGATGCCTGGTTTGAAGATAGACAGAAGAATGTTACGATGAGCCTTAATGGAGCCCAAGGAAAATTTTCTATTCCAATAAGTGGATTTCTAAGAGTTGGCAGGGCTGATAGAGTAGGGTCAACAATTCACCTTGCAACCTCTCCTTAAGGCTCCAACTAGGGTTCCCCAGCCATAATTGCTCCCTGCTGGCTGTCGTTTCATCCATTTGCTATGAAGGAGCATTTCCAGAATCAAAACAAAAACATTTGAAGCTGCACACTAGCATCACTTCCCTTGAGTGTGGGGCATTGAAGTTTTTCCACTCTGCCCCCTCCCTCCTTCAGTTACTATGGCAACACTGTCCTGGACCTACTCCAAACCAGGAAATGTTTGTGATGCTGCATATGCTATTAAATGACATTTCAAGTGTTAGTCAAACATATAAACCTGTCTTGGGTCTGGCAGGGTGGACTGGAATACACCCCCTCAAGTTGGTAGATAAGTAAAGCTTAATTAAAGCCCAAGGTTTGAATTTGCTCTTAGGCCTGGGTTCTGAAATAAGTGGGCTACAGGCCCAAACCTCCCAAAGTTTACGGTAGTTGACTTTGGAAAATAGAGTCCCATGTTCTCCATAAGGTGCTGGTCTAGAAACTAGGAGTGTTCTGGTTTAGGCATGAAAGCCAGCTGGGTACCTTTGGATCGGTCACCAGGCGACTGTGAGTTCTAGTCCCACCTTAGGCACAAAACCAATTGGGCCAATCGCCAGGTGACAGTGAGTTCTAATCCTGCCTTAGGCAAAAAAAAACAGCTGGGTGATTTTGTGCCAATCACCAGGATACTGTGAGTTCTCCCACCTTAGGCATGAAAGCCAGCTGGGTGACTTGGGCCCAGTCCCTCTCTCTTAGCCTAACCTACCTCACAGGGTTGTTGTGGGAAAAATAGGAGGAAGCAGTATGAGTATGCGTGTTTGCCACCTTGAGTTACTGATAAAGTAGTAAAGGGGGGATAAAAATCTAATAATTATTACAAAAAAATAAAAATGGAAATATAGGATAGGCATATATGTTTTATGTATCAATGAATATTGGGGCCCCTCATGATATTTTGTTTTGGCTAAGGGTGCGTTCTTTAGACAACTAACAGAGCATTAATGAACTGAAGCTTTTAATCACTTTTTTTTTAAAGCAACAATATAAATTAATCTGTATAAATCAGCCAACTCCTTGGACAGCATATAACTGAATTGTGACACCCATAATCCCCAGTAAGACAATCATGGGACCTACCACTTAGGCAGTGTTTCTCAACCTTGAGAGCTTGAAAATGTGTGGACTTCAACTCCCAGAATTCCCTAGCTAGCCATGCTGGCTAAAGAATTCTGGGAGTTGAAATCCCCACATCTTCAAGCTGCCAAGGTTGAGAAACACTGGCTTAGAGTGATTGGACATTGAAATCATCTCAGGGTACAAAGAGCGGAATAAGCAAACCTTAGAAATGGAGATCTTTTTTTGTGTGTGGATGCCAGCAATTGTTTTGTATATATATGTGTGAATTTAATGATACAATTCTTTGTATCATTACATCCCCCAGAAAATTCTTCAGCTCATTTCTGGAACAAGTCCGTGCATGTATATTTGTTTCTGTAGCCAAATCAACTGTTCCTCCGACAGACTGAATCAACAGGAGTTAAAGAATTGCTTGGCTGAAAGTCCTTATCTCTGAGGAAGCAGTATGCTATTTTGGTATAGTTGGACATTTTTTAAAAAGTAAGAACTGCAAAAGTGATAAAAGAATGACTTCACACTACACACACTCAAATGATGGCACTTCGTTCCACAAGGCTGAATTACGGCTGCCCCTTTGAACAAAGAGGTTTTGTTTATGGAGCATAACTATTTATTTATTTATGGAGAGCCAGTTTGGCCTAGTGGTTAAGGTCTAGAAATCAGGAGACGGTGAGTTCTAGTCCCAATTTAGGAATGAAAGCCAACTGGCTGACTTTCGGCCAGTCACCAGGAAATGGTGAGTTCACATCTAGGTCAGGGCTTTTCAACCTTTTCACCCATTGTACCACTTTTAGGATACAGCAATATCTGAGTACCACCAGTCGCCTAGCAAGGTGTCAAAAACTTGACCAAAAAAAAAAAAAAAAGGAAAAAAGTGATGAAGTACAGGTAGTCCTCGACTTACAACAGTTCGCTTAGTGACTATTTGAAGTTATAATGGCACTGAAAAAAGTGCCCCCCAAGCCACAGCCAAGCAAGACACCTGCCTGCCCACCTAGCAGCGCTCTTCCTCCTGTCGGAGGTTTCCATTGTTGTGAGCATTTCTGTTGAGTATTGGCAGTGGGGGTGGGGTGGGGTGTATGTGGTTTTTATTCCCCCCGTCTGATGGGTGGTTGCAGCAGTTTTGGTCACTTCACCTAACCCTGGGACACTGTGCCCGTCATAAATATGAATCAGTTGCCACGCATCTGAATGTAAATCACAAGACCCTGGAGATAAGGTAACATTCCAGCTGATTGGTGCTTCTTCAGGGCTCACCAGAAGCACCAGGATCAACACCGAGCTCCAGCTGGAGCCTGGTGCTGATCCTGGCGCTTCCACTGAGCCCTGACAGTCCTGAAGATGTGCCAATCAGCTGGAAAGCGGCACTGATCCTGGCGCTTCTGTTGAGCCCTGACAGCCCTGCAGCTCCAGCCATCTCTCTCTCAGGCTTATGCGGTGCTGCCACCGGTTCAGCTCATTCCCCTCCCCTGCTACCACTTTTCTAGGATGGTCACGTACCACCTGCCAGGTGCCAATGTACCATTGGTGGTACCCGTACCACTGATTGAAAAGCCCTGGTCTAGGTGACTTTGGGTCAGTCAATTTCAGCCCAACCCACCTCACAGGGTTGTTGTTGTGAGGGAAAAAGGGGAAGGAAGGAACCTTGAGATACATAAAGTAATAAAGGTGGGGAAATCTAATAAAAATAATAAATTACTATGGCTCATAGTTGAGATAGTTATTTATTACTTGTATGCATGCACTGCACATGCGATTAATTACATGTCCTGCTTGTGAGCTTCCCAAAGACAGCTGGATGACCCGATTTCCCTGAAATCAAATGCTTTTGACCCACCCAATAAAGCTCCTATCTTTTTTATGGTACATTTAAAAATATTATAGTTGTGAATTTTTTTTAAAAAAAGTAAATGAAAAACACTGCTTGACTAGTCTGTACATTGCACCCCCTTTTGTTCAGACAGAAGCTTGCATTAACTACATTTACACCGGCACTCTTGGAGAGACGAAAAGGGGCACTGGATATGTGTGAAAAAGCAGGGACAAAGTAAGATTTGGGAGTCTTCCCCTCTAGGGGGCACTGCATCATTTCACTCCCAGCTGCCTTGTCTGACGGTGGCTGCAGTGGTCTCTAACAACAACAACTCTGGAATCTATGGGTGGATTTGTCACCAGCCGCAGTGAGAAGAAGGATCAATTTAATTCCCTCTCCAGCCATTAATTTTCTCCGCTATCTGTCAAACTCTGAAAGAAGAGGAGGATCAGGAACTGGAGGAGCTCTGTGACTTTAATTAAGAAGACGAGCAGTGGAAGGGATGGGGAGCGGGGTCTCATTGTGCCAATGGTCTTAAACCCCAACTTTTTATCCCCTCCTCAAATTGAGACACCCCCCCCGTGTGCAAGTCCGCAGGCGGAAGTGGAGAGAAAGGACAATCTTAAGATATCTCTTTTGTATTATTAGTAGCCTGATTAAAATGCAGCTACCGCTTAAGTGGCAAGTGACATTTTGTTTCTGTCCCAGCCGCTCCACACGACATACCTGGCATTTGGAAGTGGCAGGCTGATGGGGAGGGAGCAATAGGGAATCTCTCAAAAATTATGATTTCATGTCCAACTTTGCCAACCCTTCTCCCTTCTGGCCTCCCTTCTCTCTGAGTCCCCGTTCAGCCACGCACCGACTGTCCACATGTGAAAATTTCATGGCACATTTCTGTCTTCGGCTGCTATTCCTGGAAGCATTTTCACACCCGCCTCCGGGGCTGTTTATTGTGGGGA